AAAAGTCCACTATAGAATAAAATATTTTATAGAATAAATACTTTATTTAAAATAAATATTTTATTCTAAACTGGACTTTTATGTGTCATTCTTCTAAAGCAGAAATGGGGAACTTAGGTTCTCCTTTATTATTCCATAGTGGATGTTGTTGCTTCTGAAGTTCACTGAGAACAGAAGTTGAAAGATTTGGAATCGGCTTTTAAATATTATCATGTTTTGCTTTTCAGAATGAAGTCGAGACTCAGTTACTCGTTGTACTTTTGTCGAGTGGGGTGCAAGAGTGACTGTCTTTCGTATCCTGTCACTCATCCAACCCATCACAAAAACCCAGGCTGGAACGCACCAGGGGGGCCGGTGCGATTATGCGTTTTTGCACTTTTCGTGCCGTGGCAAGATCGCAAGGAATCGAAGTAGCTAACCCTGTGAAATGCTGGCCCCCGAAGTTCCGGAAGTTAATTGTGTAACTATGTGGTATGTCAGTTGTAGGTGTCGACTTCAGTGACCCGACAAATGAAGGGTTGCTGATCCGCAAAAAAAGTCCACACAAGAAGAATTAAGTTTGAAATCTTTTAATCGCACATGAGCAGGAAAAATTACCTTAAAATTAAAGCATTCAGCTTTTCCCGTTCCCGAGTTAGCAATTTTTCCATCAAAATTTTCACGTGTCCGTACGTGAGTACCGGTTGGTTTTAAGGAGTTGAATTTAAAATCTTTTGCTCGTACATGAGTGGGGAACATTCTCCTTAAAGTTTCAGCTTTCTAGCTTTTCCCGTTATCAAGTTAGTGATTTTTGTGCCCAATTTCCACGCGCTCGTATGTGGGCTTGGGCGCTTCTTAACCCTGATTTTGCTTGTACATGAGTAGGGAACATCCCCTTAAAGTTTCAGCTTTCTAGTTTTTCCCGTTCTCGGGTTAGTGTTTCTCGCGTCAGAATTTTCACGCGCCCGTACATGAGCCCCTGGCGGTCCTGAGGAGCTGAATTTGAAAACTTTTGATCGTGCGTAAGCATGGAACATCCCCCCAAAGTTTCAAGTTTCTGGCTTTTCTCACTCTCGATTTATGAATTTTCCCGCCATAATTTTCACTCGCCCGTACGTAGCCCCGAGCACTTGCGGGTAGCTGAATTTGAAATCTTTTTGTCGTACGTGGGTAGGGAACATTCTCCCAAGGTTTCAGCTTTCTAGATTTTCTCATTCCCAAGTTAGCGATTTCCGAGCCAAAACTTTCACGTGCTCGTACGCGGCGCCCAGACGTGTGTGAGGGTTGAAACTGCGTTCCTGGGGTGGTACCTGGCTGGGAAACACACTGGCAAAATTTCAGCTTCAAAGCTTGCGTGGTTGG